TTAGAATTTTTCTATGTCATTCCCCTAAGCTGTTACAACTCAGTATCGCTTAGTATAAATGATGCTCTGTTTGCACCCGATTTGAATAATAGAATTTTTAACAATGGAAGAAAATAAAAGCAGCGTCCGTTTGTATAATAGATGCATATTTTGGTCAAATGGTGGCTCTTCGTACCCTGCCTACGAAAGGGGTACCTTGACAGTGCTTAGAAACGAAAGGCAAGCAGCAGTTGCAGAATCGAAGGAAGGCTATTATTTTATTTGAAATCATGAACATCGGCTTGTGCCAATCTCGTTTCGGCATACTGCTCGCTGTTATCTCTCGTACGTAGAACTACGAACGGACAAACTGTCCCGTGAGCGAAACTTCGCTTCGATGTTAAAACGATCAAGCATTTCTAGACACGCTGACGTCCTCACATACCGTGCACAGTGTCTCCTCTTGTAATGCCTTGCCCCAATTTCTTCTTCGAATGTCTTTCCCCAACTGGAATATCTGCTTACAAACAGAATTATTAACTCGTTTTTGTTTCTGGAAGGCAAAACTAATACAATCAAGTACGATATTTAGTATAGTTCTATAGTAAATAAAAAGGCTATAGTTCGTTAATGCCGCTATGTGTATCGTTACTGCAAGGAGCCCCTTGCGCAGCAACCCTTTAATCAAGACTGCAACTATTAAAGCTAATTTGATTGATTCAAATAATACATTTCTTCTCATTCAAATTGGTATATATTGTATATACGTTGCATTGCTTTGTTGGTCTATTCATTAGCTATTTTGTAAATCCGTTATCTAGACTGTGACGCAAACGTTTAGTTCATTATCGATAGAGCGGCCATTCTTCTCGGAGGGATTTATACTGCTGCGACGCCATTTCTAATGACCATTCTACAATGCTTGTTCCCCATCGAGGTAACGCTTGCTTTCTATAGCTGTCGTTTTGTCACAATGACACTGATGTCTAGCTCTGGGAATCAAGAAAGCGTAGTATTGCCTACCTTCAAACGCTGTCCAGTCACGGATAATATACTGAGATTCGTAATACATTAATGCCCGCATCTTTCAGAAGCCTGCGGATTGGTTCCGACAAAGATGCCTATTATTCAGGATATATTGCACAATAGTGATTAGTAGGCCACAAACAGAACCATGTTAGAAAAAGATTGCGGTCTAATTTGCATCGTTTATTATAACAATGTAATTTAGAATCGATTTCGAGATGCTCAGAGCTGAATTGTTAAGCTCTATTTCCGCCATATATCCATATTCAAAGCCGACATATAGGGTATTCAATTATTTTTCTAGTATCTAGCTCTTGTGAGCGTCTGGAAGGCCTTTATTTATATTATGCGAATAGCCGAACTGTGAAATATTTCACAGGTAAAAACCTGCTGCGTACTTACAGCTTAATATCATTCGACCATTCTTGCAGTTAATGTTTTACACAACTACACAGTATTTTCTTTCAGACGGTTGGAGACAGAAGCCGTTCCTTTTCATCTTATAGAAGTCATACGTTTTGGAAGCACCTTATTGACAGATTTTCATTATCGGTAATTCTAAACATTATCCATATATTTATTCGTTGAGCGTTGAATTATATGGGAAAATATAAAATTACTTACTCAAGCGACTGGTCGGCACTATTGAGCCGTAATACTCGCGTACATTTGTGCAATTTATACAAGACAAAACTCTCTAAAGAAGTTCATAATCCACGAATATCTACCTAAGTAACTAAAATTATCACATTCTTAATAAGCTATAACAGTTCAAATTGTTTTTCTATAAAAAAGATTTTATTACAACATTAGTTTGTTTCGTAGCGTTACTACAGATAAGGATAAAACATTTTTAGGCCAAAGTATATAATCTTAATCATTTACGTCAACTCAACCTAGCCGCTTTCTCAGACATTTAAAAACACTGCACCGATGCGCTGGTTTGTCAAAAACAAATTTAAATGCCTTCTAATCCTTACGTAAGGAACTAGGATAGGCAAGCATTTTAGGCCTGACGAGAAACCTGTATAAGTTGATTCGCTCAACTCTCGCCAGGCTTGTATAACCTAACATGCTTCTCGTTGTTAGGACAATATAGACTTAATATGCCGATTCGTATTAGGTTCTAGGGACTTGCCAAGTCACTACCGAGCCTAAAATATTATAATCAAGTGCCTGAAACTATAACAACCAGAGCACATTTTTTCGCGGACATCTTAGAACTTGTCTCGATTTATCTAAAGCTCAGTTCTATAATTAGCAGATGGTATCTCGACGGTAATCCTAAGAACCAAGAAAATAGTCGATACCGAGGTGCCGTAATATTGTCAGATAGTTACGTTCTGAAAGAGAGAGAGAGAATGCGACGAAGAGCATAGACTTCGGACCTTCGCACCAAAACCATGCAGGAAGCACATACAACAAAGTGCGTAGCGAAAAATTCAGCTGAACCTTCTCTGTGACCAAGAAAGTTCAAGGAATGCTGAGGTCTTTTCTTAGGACATTAGGACAGAAAACCACGACAGCTGTTGAAGAGCCCATAAGGAATAGGTTAATCGTTCCGGACTTGTCACGTCATTTTCGCCAGATGCATGTAACACTCTTGTAGTAGAGTTTCGACTGAACTATATAATGTTTCGTGACAAAGTCGAAATATCGCTCAACTGGGTGAAATTCATCTTATATTTGGTGGAACTTATCGTGGCTCATTGTGTAGCGTATGTTCTATATGTATATGTGATCCGTTTCCTATTCAATGTATCCATCTCGTAAAGCCGGAGTACCTGTTTAAAAATGGCTGCTGCGACAGATTTTTATACAGCGTCGTCTCGTAGGAACTACACAAACTGTTATCTAGCAGCAGCCGGTTTCATCTCGCTCAATAAAAAAAACTCACCATGAACTCTCGCATTTGCTTTGACTTGACGTCCGAGTGACGACAGCTACCCCTACGCTGACGAAGCTCATTTACGCAGCTAGCTAGAACTCTACAGCCGCTATGCTGTTCACACGACTGTTTATGTCGAACTGCTATTGTGTAAGGCCGATATAGACATACGCTCTAGTACTGAGAATTTTCAATCTTATAGCGTAGACAAACGCTTAATTTAAGGTTGCGACTTTGTTAGAGATACACAAACAACGTTAATCATTCTTGTTTTTCTACCTAACTATTTAGCTATAAGAGGCCGTTTTTCACCGGAAGAGTCTGTGCGAAAATGTATACACTTGATACACATTAAAAAAAATTAATGTATTCTATGTGATTATATACATTTACCCTACTATGTGTTTGGATTGTTGCTTAGAACGGGTCGCGGTGATGATACTGACAGGTTGCTTGGCAGGATAGGTTTAGAACCCTTCAGCCAACATATTCAAACGAAAATCGGTTTCTATATGCGTCTTTGGCATTTTAACTGCATTATCCAGATAGAACAATGAGCATGTTCAGGAACCTTTTGAAATGGTAGTACGCCTTTAATAGTCTGCCGTGCCTGACCTAAGCAACCTGAGACATAGAAATTTACTCTATACTATTTTCGCTAGAAATCTTCTTCTGCTAGAGCTCGTGGCCCTGCAATAATTTTACGAGGCAGACGCAGGCCCTCACGCCGGTGCCTGAGACCATGCTGCACCCATATTGTTTCATGGCCCGCAAAAGGAAAGAGTATGTAGACGCTGCTCAATTGGGGCTCACAGCTCCTAGTGCTAGTCCAAACGTCTCATTTCAGCGAGATGGATATTACTTTTGTCGAGCTTCTCTCCTAATAGATATAGTGCTACGTAATGAAACATACGCTGAAGCGTACGCTGTTGTATGTGGCTTCTGTGTAAGCGGAAATGGCAGCAAGGGAATTCGAGTTAAACTAGAATCACATCCTTATAGCTCCGTTGTAAAATTTAAAGCGTTTTAACCAACTAATATATCTAAACTAATGTATCCTAGACGAATGTTTTGTTCTTTAATCATGCTTTTCGTACAATATACATAGTTCAATACGTACGATAGAAGTAACAAGCTGAAATACCTCATATGAGGTACATCTTTCGATCCGCGTATCCTTCTTTCGCTAATTTTTTAACCAGGCTTTGATACAAATCCATTAACTAAATGCCGGTATTGAGCTAAATTCAACAACTGTCTTCGTCGATGATCTGCCGAGAGAAACCATTCCCTGATAGCCATCATCTGTTGATTCGATATCTTTTTTAAAACATGTTAAACCGAACTGAAGCCATTTTACGTTATGTTGAACGCACACGATGATATGAATCATTTAGAAGATTGAAACTGAGATCTATTTATATTTCTGTTGGGTGGTTATGAATCGATTATTAATAGTTAATGCTGATAAAGATGTCATTAGAATTAACTTTACTAGTTTAGTTACTATTTATGTATATATTTTCCAAAAACTTGAAATGCAGGTTACACGCGATCACAGATCCTGAACATTTTTTTTTTAGCTCTTCCGTCCTATTTTCTAGACAGATTCCAAGTTTAAATAAAAATCTTCGACAACTGTAAAAATACCGATACTTCGTTCTCCTTTTTCGTAGCTAGCTCTCAAAAATTGAAAACGTATTGAGGCTTCAACAAATACCTATCTGAAGGCGTTCATCTTTCAGATAAGCTTGCATTGAACATAGGGTAACTGCGCAGATAGAACCGCTGACATCAGTTACGATGGTCTGACCAGCCTTCGTAGCTCGAATCGGCCGGATCAACACCCCTTTAATAACGCTTCAGGAACAGATAGATCAACACGTCCGTCCCAGCTGTTATTGAATAGACGTAAGCAGGCATCAAACTGACGCACGTAGACAGAAAAAAAAGAACTCTACGTAGAAGTGGCACCACCAGCGGTAATATGTATAGAGGAAATCAGACGGTGGAAACTATTGGTGAAATGATTTACTTGTTGTTTTTTGTGTCACCTGTGCATAATACTTACAAACTGATCGAAATCTAAAGGTAAATGTTTGCTCACCTTGAGTTAAAGTTTTCCACATAGATAGATAACGCTTCACTTATAAGCTCACTGACTTTTTCGCCTTTGTTTTACGGGGTATAAATATTATTGACTTGTCAATCTCTCCACGACTCTGTAGCATCCCAAGGGCACCTTATGCAGCAACACACACTACTCAAATTTCAAAAAAGTTATCGCCACTTCTCCTATAGAATAAACTTCACTTTTTACTTCGCGTTTGGCACGTATTCGTCACTCAATCGTCCCTATACTCGTAAGTTCTGCCTTCTAATCTCCTGTCGTAGAATTTCGGACGAAACTTTTATAAATGCTCGCGAACAGCTGTTTTAACACGTTCAATAATCGTCCTACCGAATACTATCTGAGTACACCAGCTGGTGAGCATACAAATGCGTTTACGTGTTTTCCTGAGGCTCGTTACGCCGAGGTCTGGGCCACCGAGTTCGTGCTGCGGTACATGCGGACTCTTTGAAGCGTACCCTTCGCTGTTCCCTCACCCATCAGAAGAGAGAGTAACGTAAAGGCGATGTTGTGGCAAATAATGTGTATGGACTGAAGAGAAGGGGCATCTTCATACACAGCGGTATCCTCAGCAGCTGCGAGTGTCCATGAGCGAGACCCGCTGTCTAGCGTGGCGTTGGTCCGATGGACGTGCGGCAAGGAGGACCGGGTCAACCGCGGGATAAACGACGACCCGGCCTCGGTGCCAGCTGGGTTTAAAATAATGCAGCGCCCCTCCGCTCCGGCCTTCAGAGAAGGGAGCCAGGAATTGATAAAACCGAAGAAGCAGCCTTGAGTGTTTCCCCGCAGAAAAATAGAACTATCGGCCAGCAAGTCCACATTTCATCGTGTACAGGTTCAAATGAAATGGGTTTGGGGGTAGTTTTGGGAGTAGCGTGGCTCTGTGTTGAATGGGAAAATGATATGTGAATCGAAACCCAGCAACTTTATAGATGATAAAATAACAAGGTAACGTGATGAGATATTATCTGGTTGATATTAGAAATCACCGGAAGCAGGACTGATTTCATACCTGAAAACATGTGCAACGGAAACAGAAATTCTTATCAGGAGCGATCATCCATCTAGAAAAAATGATGCTGGTAATGCTGGATAAGGTGAATAGTATAGCATGAGTTTGAACGTCAAAGATGAAATAAAACCTCCTGGATCGTGATTCTTTGCTTAACCTCTCTAAAACAACGCGTAGTCTCATCCAATGTCGTATTGAGCTTGCACGTTGAATTATCGAAAGGCTAAGGATCGTTGAGCTTCTGCGCGGTACTAACCTTTGAATACAGAAAAGTATTTTGTATACTAAATACATTGGACGGTCTCCATAGCAGACTTGTATTCGAAAACAGCTCTACATTTTTAGAATACACCAGTCGGATATTTTCATCTAAATAAGAACTACCACACGCGATGGAAGCAATTCGAAAGGAAAACGTGACTACGACAATTTAAAACCAATTCTATGATAAATGATTGCTGCTTTATTGTCCCATGCCTGCTATTACCGAGGCTCAAACATTGTTAAACAATAACATAGGACGTCATCTTAACATGACGCGGCGTTTCTACCAAAACGACTTGCCATTTCTAATCATTGATTCTTCCCTTCTTGCTTCTGTTGCTACGTCTGCTATTGAAAGACTCTAACGAACGAACCCTAAACACTTCCATAATCTATACAGACACTAATCGAAATTAACAATCGAATCAACAGGCAATATCTGTTACTTGTTCTGTTGACAGGTTGCCCACGGTCCTCTCAATACCTTATACGACGTCCCCACCCCTAACATCAGCAAGTGACAGATCCCAAAAGCCTTTTTTTAATCTTTCTTCGTCCTTCTGCTAATCGAAAATGCAGCTTGTGATAGCTCGCCCAGGCCTGTTCGAAGCATCCTTTGCCGCCTTGTCATTTGGGCTAGGACGAAGGTGGCGGCTTGGACTCACCTCTTTCCAGCCAAGTCAAGTAAAGACATGCCTTTCTATTGTTTATTCGATTATAATTCTCTGTTCTAAAAAGCACTACTTTCTAAGAGTAACTATATTCTTTCTCAGACTACGGCGAAGTGAGCAGCAAACAGCTTCATAGCTATAGATAGCTATACCTCGTCGTCTATTTTTGATTTTTTCTCTTTCTGTACACTCATAAACAACAGTGGCTTTCGCCACAGGCTTTTCAGTGAGTGATCTTCAGAAACCGCAGCGGAGTGACCGGGTGTGTGTTTTCTGCTCTGGGTTTCCCTTATGACCTGAAACAAATGAACGGTCACAGCCAACATATTGTACAACATGTCGTAATAAAGCGGGATTCTCTGCCTCCAAACTCCGTAGCAGGGATGGTCGTTCTTAGTACTGCTACCTACTACCCAAATTGCTGATTGGTTGGCCACTATCTAACCGAACTCGGCCACTGGCAGCTTGGAAGTGTTACAACTGGCAATGGTCTCAGAAAAGAGCGATAATAATGGCAAGCGTTTCCGCTCCGCCCCAGCCTAGCCCGACGATTGCTATAACTAACTGTAACAGAGTTGTCACATCAGGAATGACAATGACCGACTAGAAGGCGACCGAGTGGGCCACGAAAAGAACAGAGTCAGGAAAAATGCCCCTATCGTTTGTTTGCCTTTTGCTTTCTGTTTTAGTTAACGGACGTATTCGACACAAACGACATCCAGAGAGTTCGGACCTAGCCAGTCAGTGAATTGTTTGCTGTATTTTAGCTCATCCGTTCTTCTTATTGTGACTGCTTCTGTTACGACTCATCTGGAGCTAGCTGAGAACAAGCCCCATGGACACGATGCATTGATATGAAATGGGAAAAGCCTGGGACGAGCAGGGCTTGGGGCAGATGCAAGAAACTGATTGAGCTGACAACAGCGACAGAAATACTTGACTAGGTAACAATTTGAAGAAGAAACGTCGCGCGTCTCATAGTTAAGTAGCAAAAATTACGGTCCACGGACCGCAAATCAGAATGTTCATTTTGGCCAGCTTTGAGGTCTAAACTAGACACTCAGCCTGGGCTGCTCCGAGCAGTACTGAGCAACAATCGGGTGTAGCTCCCTTGATGTTCAAAATGGCCTGGCCCCTTCATTATTGCTAGATCGTTTCGCAACATGAGCTCACTAAGCATTTGACAGCTAGAAAGTACTGCATTATTCTCTTAAGATCGATTCTCGTATTAAGGACCCAGCTGGCTCAGAAGAATTTAGAAAAATCTCTGTGAAGAGTTCTACATCGGACCTGCAAGCTTTCTTTAAGTTTCAAAATTTCTAGCTGTCGCCCACTTTATAGATGGGTGTCTGAAGGTTCAAGGCAAACATCGACAGTACCGAGTATAGGCGGTGAAAAAGTTCCTGAGGATCAATTAGAATCTCATTAGCTTTAACGCGCTTTGTACTGTTACTTAAGAATGATAAGTGCACGTCAAAAGGTCAGTTCGTGATGAGGATAACAGTCCTTGGTTAATCTTAAAATTAATGCTTATTTTATTTGGCTAGCACTTAGTTCTTCTGACCGTTCAGCGCCATTTCAGTTAACTACAGCTGAGGAAATAACTGGACGCGAAAGTGAGTTCCCATCAAGGAGTTGTTAAACGCCATTGTACGACTATATATTTCTACTCGTTACGTTAATACAACGGCTAAAATATTCTTATTGTTGCCGTGTTCTTATTATACGACACAACAATGGGTCAGGAAAAGTAATGAGGCAATGGATACACACTAAATAAACGAATGTCCTAGAATATAATTCTACTGTAGGCCTAAATGTACCCGCACATCCTTCAGTCGATCTTTGTTCTGGATTTGGCTAAGATGAATACTTTTTTAAGACACCGTAGTCGGTTTAGTTAAAGGAGGTACACGCCTACCGTATCGTTATAAGTTAAATTATCGGGCTGCAAGTGGGCAGCATCGTAACATTACTAAAATGTGTTAGATCTTTTTAAGTCGACTTGATAACAAAGGACTCGTTGGCCAATCACATACGGATTTATTGCCAACATTTAAGAGCATTGCCACCTCATTTTAGCCCATCATCAGTCGAGTTACCGGACAGTAGTTTGAAATACAACTGATAAGGGTTTATTGAATCACTTCTAACTTTCACGCCATATTTCTACTGTATTTTCGTAATGATCAAAATCTGCTGGAGTTTCTGTAAAATGCCAGCTTTGCATATCGCCACCGTCGTAGATATTTCTCGTTCTATCTATAACGCTAAGTCCAGTCGCTTGGGTGAACAATAAGCCTTCCTAATGTATCTTTACCTCTGTGCCATTTCAAACTCTACAAGTCACCTGTTCATAGTTGAACATGTTCAGGACCTCCTATCAAAGCGCATAGTCCCTAGTTCCGGATACCTACACTTTAGCTCTTCTTCGCTACCCCGGAGGCCCTCGACCAGTTACCAAAGATAACATGTACGTGAGTTTATCGCGAAAACGTTATCTCACCGTAGACACGATCTAACATGAACCTGGAAAAAATGTACACAGCCAACGATTGTGTCACGTTTTCGCGGTGGAAGTTCGCCAACGTGCTGCTTAGCGTCTGGTGAATGACAGTTCATACCCATTAAATGTTTAACATGGGCTCTACTCAAATTTGTACGCTTGCCGCTTCAGGTTATAATAGAGTGCATCACTGGGCTAAATTACTAGACTCTATTAATTATTAAAGTATTCGATTTACTTGCATAAACACTTGCCGATTAAATGAGGCTAGAGGGCCTAGAAAAAGACGATTTCAAACGAAGGTTAACGGTCTAGTCCATTAAACATAACAGGACATGTGCATATATCTGACCCCTTATACCGTTTTGCTGCAACATTATTAGAGTTTAATATTGAAGAAAAGCATACATGAATATGTCGGGAATTCTGCTAATAGAAAAAGTGTCGTTATCCACAAAACAACGTTCATGCATTTTATCCGTTTGCTCCAACATATCACACTTTTACCTCTACCGAGGAGCTAAACTGAGCAATGCCGGTTTCTGTATTGCAAAAAGCAGAACTTCGTGCATGATCCGATACTCGGTTGGCAATTACGAAAACACAGAAAATCACGGACAAATGCCATACGTACGTCCTGGCCTTGGCATTTGAATTACCTGGGAGATCAGTGTTGGCAACGGAACATAGAGAAGACGGCTGAAGAATCATCTCATACAGGTAAATAACCCTCATGAGCTTGCTCCCTCAGCAATACTTATTATGAGCGAGTACGAAAAGAATGTATTAGCAGTGAGAAAACGTATATCTGCCCGGGACCAAACAAAAGAAGTGCGACATATTTATTAAGAAATTAGTTAAAAGAGGAACTACAATTTCGCTTTCTGTCAAACAAAAGTTTTGCATTGTCTTAGCGGGCA